AAAGCCTCATTGAAAATTCATTTATTTTGATTACTAAGATAGCTGTACTAGTTTCCATTAGATTCATTTTACATCTTTGTCAAACTGCTTTTTTAAAAATTTTTTTGTACATTAATAAACCCAAATGAATAATAAAATTATATCTTAATGTAGATAAAAGCATATAAATGGCCATATTGGTCACTGTAAAACATTTAAACATTTGCTGTGTCCAGTGGAGTAGAGGGACTGGAAAGACCTTCACCCTCCATTGTAAACATACGGACCGGAAATAGGGTAATATATTTTGTGATGCCTGTTCATTTTAGTGACCAGAAGTATTCAAATGTTAAAACTGAAAGAACTGCGGATGCTGTAAATCAGGAACAAAAATAGAAGTTGCTGGAAAAGCTCAGCAGGTCTGGCAGCATCTGTGAAGAAAAAACAGACTTAATGTTAACTAAGTTCTGAGGAAGGGTCACCAGACCCGAAACGTTAACTGATTTTTTTTCTTTGCAGATGCTGCCGGACCCGGCTGAGCTTTTCAGCAACTTCTGGTGTTCAAAATGTTGTATAGTTACATGAAAGTTTCCTGTTACAATACAGCAATCTTATTTAAAAAAATAACTTTTGAGGTAGAGGTATAGCTCAGCAGTAGAGTATTTGACTGCAGATCAAGAGGTCTCCAGTTCAAATCTAGTGCCCCTTTATACAGACACCTTGACTGAACATCAGCTGTGTTTCAATGTGCTTAGGTCTGGTTAGACACAGTAGATAGGAACTGTAGGGGCATTTTGACTCGTAGTCAATGACCCTAGTACCTTTACTTTAGATATACAAAGACATTGCCAGGTTTGCAAGATTTGAGTTATAGCAAGATGCTGAATAGGCTGGGGCTAGGTTGAAGGCGAGTGGAGAAAGATTTAAAAGGGATCTAAGGGGCAATGTTTTCACTCAGAGGGTGGTGCATATACGGAATGAGCTGCTCGAGGTAGTGGTGGAGACTGGTACAATTACAACATTTAAAAGGCAGCTGGATGGGTATATAAATAGGAAGGGTTTAGAGCAACGTGGGCCAATTTCTGGCAAATAGAACTAGGTTAATTTAGGATATCTGTTCGGCATGGACAAGTTGGACTGAAGGGTCTGTTTCCGTGCTGTACAACTCTAGTGCAGTTGTTTTTCAGTAGATCCAAATGCAAATAACTTTGATGAACAAGAAGCTTCCTGTAGTCTTCACACTAATATTGAATGTCTGCACCCACGGCAATTACCCGTATTCTAATACTATGGGTGCAAAATCAAGAAGTTAAACCTACGGATGCACGTACATTGAAAAAACTAGACCAATAAACTAATTCAAGCGCCCTATCAGCCTTCATCTTTAATATTCAGTGAGTCAACTTATAGACCAGTTATCATCATAAGCAGAGTTTCAAAAGTAGAATTTCACAAAAAACAACTTTATTTGTTCGCTACACCTAGAATCACTTCTAGTCAGTGAAAGCAATCACTATTAGTTAACACACAACTGTGGACAGACAACTAATCTCACCCTTTCTGTTGCACCTTTAACACCAACAAAAAATGTGCAAGATCCTACAGTATTTTCATTCAGCTTACTAAATCAGGACACAAGCTTCATACTGAATCAGTTCAGCACCATTGAATCAGTATTGTATGTTCAAAAATATCACGCAGTTTCAATGCCACTAGAATTTTTTTTAATATAACAGAAAGCAAGCCATACTTAGGTTGTATGCTCATGCTGACCTGATGGGGTAAATTTAAATTAGGGTTGAGTTAGATATAATTAAGTCACCAAGTTTATGATTTATGTTTGCAATTAGCAGATTGTATTGTACAACATTGTGTCCTATTTTTAACACAGAGACCCCTAAGCCTTAGAAACTGGGTAATAAACACCAATGAAAGTGCAATAATGACAGATTATTTTCTGTTTATTGACTACAAAAAAAAGTGTACATCTGTCATATGTAGAAAGTTAAGGGTGATATACACATCTGGATGAAGGCACCCATAAACACATTTTACTTCCAATATTCATATTTTTTTAAATTAGTTTCGACAAAGGAGATGGTAGGTTAGGAGGTGTGCAGTCCTCTCCTCTCCAATTTATAACTGGAGATGCTTTCAGAATTAGTATGGAATGCAAAATGCACAAACAAGCCATAGTTAAACATTAAAATGAAGCCATTTTGGAGTCCATTTATAGGACAGCGAGAACTTTGATGCTCCATTTTAGATACAGTATTAATCCAAGGTCAAGACAGAAAGATGCTGGAGTGAAGTTTTGTTTTGTAGTGATTCAGATCTCCAACCATAACTTACATTACAACATCAACAGATGTAAAGGGTAAATTTACACTGACACTAAACCAGTGGTATAAATGGATCCAGAGTCATTTATATAGAACAGGAAAATTGATACAGCAGCCATCAGATCCTGCAAAGAAAAGTTTGCCTAAGTATACAACATTTTATTGTGTGGGCTGTTTTTTTGATCCTAAACACTTTTAATCAGAGTCAAATGCAGAAAATCAGGACCTACAATCTTAATCATATGGAACCTGGAACTAAATATAGCCCACATATAAAGGCTTGCAAACTAAGAAGTCAGCTTCAAAGCAGTATTATATTGATTTATACAAATAATTTCAGAACAAAGTGTCTTGCTTCACTCCAGAATGTTTCCCCACCCTATCAAATGGTTAGCGACCACACCACACCACAAACTGTCGGCGCATCCCCCCAACCCTCACCCATTCACTTCTTAGCATTTCAGATCAAATTCATTAAAATTGGCAGCAAGTGTTTGGAAACTGGCAACCTTTGCTGGCAGCTTACAGAATTTGAATGCCAATTAGTAATTTGCTTTTCTGACACCCAATTCTAAAGCAACCCAATCTGTAACCATCACCTTTGGAATGTTAATTGTGAATGAAACTAGTTTAATTCATAATTGATCAATTCAAATTGTTTGGTGGCAACTCCAGACAACTCAGGTCTCTGTACGGGCAAAACTCGACACAGAATCAGTGTGTGCTGAATTTATAAAGCATTCTTCAAGCTTTGTTTCCCACATCCCACGTATAAAGTAACTACTATTCAATAACACTCAGCAAACATGAAAAACAAGTGATTTTACTCTTGCTACAAGCAACTGAAACTAGAGAGCTTTGGACAATCCTGAATGTTTCTAATTGGTATTTTTGATAAAAAGTGATAAAATATTTTATAAACTAACTCCAATCGAATTAATTTTATTGTAGAAACTTGCTTACTTATACAACCGTTGAAAAACAGCTTAATGTCGCTACAAAACTACCAGCACAGTAGGTGTTGACTGCTGTAAATCATCTTAAGGATTTTTTAATATTTTCAAAATCTATTTTCGTGCATTAGTCGTTGCAATACAAGGCTCCCAGTGCTAATCTTATAGACTACTGACTGTGAAATCTAACACACAACAAATTTGGAAGTGGAATGTATCCCTCAAGCCTGATGTCCAACTTGCTTTTAATGTCATATTTGAGAACATGGATGACTGTTTGGATACCAGTGATACTTGTCTTCAGAGCTCCTCACTTCGGTCATGCAGCTGAAGAAGTTGGGCTTAAAACATGAAATCTTTTACAGGCACCACATCTGGGAAAATAACATTAAATGATAGAAAGCAAGTGTTATTTTGCCCAGAATATGTTGGAAAGCATTGTTCAAACTAGACAATGATTAACTACTGTATGAGATTCAAATCAGATGTGTTTAAAGATGATTTTTAAACCTACCCAAAGTACCTCAATGAATAATTAGTAACTACTAACTGCTCAGTGTTGGAATTGTTTAATAGTTTGAATACAGTTGGCAACAATTGTACTGAAAGCAGATATACCGATCAGTAAACTATGTCAATATGTTTGTCACAGTTTTATAATTCACCTCTGAATACAGTAAAAGAACTTAATTCTTTAAAGTCATGCAAATTGGTTCTTTGCAGTTCCAGCAGAGAGACATTAGGAAATAAACTAATCCATGATTCTTGAACCACGCAAAATGATGGATGGAATCTCAAGAGCAGACAGTATACAAAATAAAAATGTGATGTTTACATCCAGAATGTGCCAGAAACACAAAAATGGAGTATTTAGCCCCCAGTTTAGGAAAATATATTAAAGGTACACGTACCTGAGGAGTTAGCTACAACAGGCTTTTTAAGAGAACAAATGTTACAGTGCACAGGAAAATACACGTGGATATACTGTGAACATATATGGTTTAAATTGTTAGTCATGTTCCAAGGTGTCAAAAATGGCAGCACTGTCCTGGGATTATCACTCATCATTGTTATTTGGTTAAACAAAAAAAAAATTAGATCAAGTCTTGGTTTATCACATTAGTTTTCTGATTAACCCCATCTTGGATCTGCCATGGTTTTGTTTTGAAAGTAAATCCACTTGTTTATAATTTTGGAAAGGAGGAAAGAATTCTGGAAACATTTGCTCTCAATTTCATTGGTTTCAAGAAAAGGAATTAAGTAGTTTAAACCCTATTTTCATAACTGCATTGGTTTACACCTAAGTATTTGACCACTGCATTTTGAAGAACATAAGTCCACGAGAGGATTTTCAGGTCAGCCATGATCTCACTGAATGGTGGAACAAACCCGATGGGCTGAATTGCCTACTTCTGCTCCTACATCTTATGATCATAAGGCCATAAAGAGGAAAAATAGAAGTCAAAATCTTCAAAGATATACTTCTAAAAACATTTTATCAGCAGTACAATTAGTGTTGCAGGTATTGTTTAAAATTGATACTAATTTTTAAAGCGGTACAAGCCAGTGTTGACTAATTTTGAGGTCTAAAGTCAGAACATAGCAACGCTTAGTGTTTCATTACTTCAACGCAGACACAGAACTCTGCTTACTAGTATAAGGTTTGTGAACAACTGATAGAATTGAAGAATCTTTACCAAAACCAGGAAAATAAAACACAAGCTACTGAACGCCAAAGCAATTTTTTTTTAATGAACAGTGCAGCAAAAACAGAACAAAATGTGATTTCAATCTCCCGATTTGGTCTTTGAGACAGAAAGAAATTCAGTGAATCATGGTACATTGCTCATAGGAAATTTGAAAATTACATGATAAAGAACCACATTTATTTCGAGCTTGTGTTGGTCAGCAGGCAAATCCTGTTATTCCCCTTTCTCCTTCAGTTTCTTAAAGTGACGAGCACGCAGACCTTGGTTCATCTTCATACACTGCTTAATGACTAGAGATGTTGGAAGTAGGGACGTCATAATCCAACCCTAAAGGATATTTATTAGAATATTGACATGCATTTTAATTACATTTATTTTTATGACAAGGTTTCTCATGCAAAAGTCAAAATTCTAAGCCACAATCTGGGATTTCAAAGTTGAAGAAAGTCACATGATATTCAAAACGTTAAGTCTCTGTCTCTCCACAGCTGATGCCAGACCTGCTGAGTTTCTCCAACACTATTTTTAGTCCGGATTCCCAGGATCTGCAATACAGGGGGTCCCCAATTCACGAATGTCTGACTTACAAACACAATCCCACACAGTGGTGTAATTTTAAAAGACTGGACATACAAACTTTTCCTTGTTTATGAATGGCTACTTTATATTGTCCTGTATTTTGTTCTGACCTGTGTACAAATAGACTTGAACAGACTCCAGAATAGAACCCGTTCGCAACCTGGGGGCTGCCTTGTACTTTAATTTGAATTCAAAGCTGCCACTTGATTTTATTTCAATGTTTATTCAGTGTGAAGTTTTATTCCTTTAAGTAAAATGTTTTCTACAATAATGATAAAATACAAAAAAACTAAGTGATTATATATAGACTGCATCACATAAGAATATCGGAACAGAACTTAAATCCCAACTTCTTAATGGGACGGTAGGCAGACAAAGGGACTGTTGATAGTAAACCAGGAAAAAAGTTAAATAGGTGATTTTGGGAGCATCGAGTAGTTGGCTGTGCTGAAAGCAACCTACTTCATGACAGGATCTGGGACTGAGAGAGTAGGTAATAGACAAGGAAGGAGGTAGAGTTCATGTTCTGAAATTGTTAAAGTTGATGTTGAATCCTGAAGGCTGTAATGTACCAAAGACAGAATATTGTTCCTCCAGTTTGCACTGCACCAGGCCTGAAACAGACGTTTGGCATAGGAACACAGTGATGTGGCAGGCAGCTGGAAACTCGGGGTCATTTTTACAGATAAAGTAGATGCTCCACAAAGTGATCACCTAGTCTATGTTTCATTTTACTAGTACAGAGGAGGCCGCATTGAGAGTACTGGATACAGTAAACTAGATTGAGTAGGCAAATCACTGCCTCACCTGGAAATTGTGTCTGGGGCCTTGGGGAGTGGGGAGGGAGGAGGTAAACGGTCAAGTGTTGCACCTTCTGTGAATGCATGGGAAAGTACCCGAGGGGTGTGGAAAATGAAGGAGGCATGGATCAGGTATGTCCCAGAGGGAACAGTCCCTACAGAATGCTGACAAGGAGGGAGGGGATGGTATGCAAAAAGAGATGATGGAAATGGTGGCTTATGAACCTCTAGATGCAGGGGTGAAGGAGAGAGATTGAGGGGGGGACAGCAGAGGGAAGACAAGAGTGTGAGAGTGAAGAGGGGTACAGCAAAGGGAGGGCGAGAGAGTGAGAGGGGGTGCAACAGAGGGAAGGCGAGAGTGTGGGGGGGGGCTACGGCGGAGGGAAGGCGAGAGAGTGAGAGCGGGGTACAGCGGAGGGAAGGCAAGTGTGAAGGGGCCAAAAGCAATACAGATTCAGGATACAGACAGCATGCATAAGGGGACAAGTAAAGGGCACGAGAAAAGTGATAAAGAGTATACAAAGAGGGATGAAGAATGACAGAAAGACACTGAAAAGTGGGAAGATAGGATGATATCAGGAAACTGCCCAGACTTAAAATCACTGGGTTTCAAAACGAAGTTATGAGCATCTCCCCTCCTCACCGAAGTATCTACTGTGTTCTACAACCCAGTGACAGTGGACTGTGTCGGTCATGTACAGTCCTCCAAGGCTAGAGAAGGCTGTCAAAGAAAGGGACCACGGACGAGGCTAAGGAGGTCCACCAAATGTGGTGTTTGCTTTCACCGATACCTATGGCATCAATGAGGATGATAACAAGGTGCGAGCAGGTGGAGGGGGTGTTTGCTGAGGGGGGTGGGGGGATGCAGTGCATAGAGGGGGGCACAGAGGGGAGAGGCTCCACCAAACCCAGAGCCACCATTACAACAGCGAGAAACTAATCTCCAAAACAACTGAGGCATGGATCAATCAAAATCCAAAGTAATCACTGGACAGTCTATCTTTTTCCTCTCTCTCAGATATAATAAAACTGGTGGTTGCTTTTAATGTCTCCAACAGGATACTCCTTCTCACGTGAGACTGTGAAGTTCCCCCAACAATCAATTGGTTCATACGCAACAGTAGACCAGTCCTGCAAGGTGTGCAAGAGGCTGCCAGTACCAATGTAACCACATCCAAAATATGTCAGCTCTTTGAAACCAGAGAAAACTTAAAGTGATGCATCAAAACCAAGTGACAAATTAAACAACTGATAAGAAAAGAAGAACTTGCATTCCTTACCATAATGGCATGTGGCAGGTAGCCATTTGTCTGCATCTGAAGACCAACTGTTTTTAAGGCAGCTTTCACATATGTTTCAGGACTCGGTTTGCTTAGAGTTGGCCTTCGGATCTTACTCAACTTTGTAGCCACGTAGAATGGCAGCACACTCTAACAAAAGCAAGTGCAAAGAGAAAAATACAGTAGAATATAGTAACATTATTGCTGAGAAACAGGTTACTGTTTATGAGCACAACTTTCTCATTTCTGTACATTGTTGCTATTTCATGATCACGACTTAATTTTGAATAGCACAGAAAATCCAAATCTAAAATGGTAACAACTTTGGCGCATCCCACAACAGTAGTAAGTGATTTCAAATTCTCATGCAAGTAGCAAAGATATTTCAAATTTATTATTTGAGGCCATGCATATAGGAGTTTACGATCAGAGATTGTCTCAAATCAAACAGATATTGCAATTTACGGCACGATAGGCAGGAGATTAGCACAAGGTAATAGAACCAGTGTGGGTACAATGGGCCGAATAGCCCACCTTTGCACTGTAGTAATTCTGTGATTGTTAATTTGTGTTTAAGGTTTGTATAGAACTAGCTACCCAACTTACCAGAAGAGACTGAATGGAAATATTGTACCAGAGAAGGGAAGTTTAAATATTAACCACTAGATGGCACAAAGGGGCCAGAACATCAACATACAAGTTGAAAGCATTATTAGTAGTTCTTAAATTTTTTTTTTACAGTATAGTGATTGTAACAAGGCCAGCCAGGTCGACCCCACAGAATGCGTTCCCTGACTGGACCAGATTAACAGGTCCAATCAGGGAGTCCTGGCTGACATAAGGACCGGAGTGTTTTCCTGGTGGTGCAAAATTTAGAATAAAGTTTTAGCACATGGGTGATGTGGGGAAAATATAAGCACAGCTGCTGAACCCCCTTTGGCTGTTGTGGCAGCGTAGGGGAAACAAAAACAAAATACAGGAGATTCAGAAGGTCTGCTCAGTCTAGGGACTGGCTTTGAGCTGGCTGGTCACAGCCCATGTACAGTGCAACATAAATAAAGGGTGACTTGGTGACAGAATACCAAAAAAACAAGAAAAAGGGAAAAAAAGAGAACAGCAGTGTCAGACATTCTGTTTACTTAGAGCTGGCTCAGAGGGAGCTGGATTAGAGTCAAGGACTCATGTCTAAATAAAGGTTGACTTGGTGACTGGATATCAGACTCTGTGCAGCTATTTCAAAAAGGCTAATTTATGAATTTTGTATCCAAACTTAGCCTGATTTATTGCACTTTCTGCCTACAAAATAACACTACTTACTTCAGCAAATATTGCTGTTTAGTCCAGTGGCCTACACCACTCACTGAATGTAGGCATTGAATAATTTTCTCCTATTTTACTAATTTGTAATTTAGATGAAGCTTAGGAAAGACTTATAGATCCCAAGTTATTGACGGTATATTGATTTGCACTGCACATCAGCACTGTAGGTTTATAAAAAAGAGCAGACAATTTTCTTTTATCCGTAGGACATGGGAATTGCTGACTGGTGGTGAGCTGCGTTCTTGAACCGCTGCAGTCCATGTACTGCAGGTGACCCACAATGTCCTTAGGGAAGGAATTCCAGAACTTTGACCCAGCAACAGTGAAGGAACTCCCATATATTTCCAAGTCAGGATAGTGAGCAGCGTGGAGGGGAAACTTGCAGGAGGTGATGTTCCCATGTACTTGCTTCCTGTATCCTTCTGGATGGAAATGGTCATGGGTTTGGAAAGTGCTGCCTAAGGATCTTTGGTAATTTTCTGCAGTGCATCTTGTAGACAGTACTGTTACAAAGTTGGATAGAGTATTCATGAGATAACAAGGTGTAGAGCTGGATGAACACTGCAGGCCAAGCAGCATCATAGGAGCAGGAAAGCTGACGTTTCGGGCCTAGACCCCAAGAAGGGTCTAGGCCCGAAACCTCAGCCTTCCTGCTCGGCCTGCTGTGTTCATCCAGCTCTACACCTGGTTATCTCAGATTCTCCAGAATCTGCAGTTCCTACTATCTCTAGAGTATTCATGAATTGGAAGGCAGGATGTTAGAATTTATTGGGAAAAATGATTGCGGGGAAAAGTGTGCCACGGTCACTTTAAGAGCTTGTGCTTTGTCTGTGCTTGGAAGTTTATAAATGCAGGTGCAGAGAGAGTGCCCGAATGGAAACATTTTGTACAGACCAGCCAAGCAGCACTTTTTTCCAAGACAACAAATTTGAATTTGGCCAATTTAAACAAAGCATCCAGATGCAAAAAGCCAATTGAATTTAAATCTGATGGTCTTGACAACCTGAAACCAATATTATATATCCGTAATGACAATCAAATTCTTATAAGATGAGGGCATTTGGAAAATCGGAGAGCACCAACTGCCATCTGAGAGAGAGAACCATCTGCCACCTCCCAGAGTTAGCACCATTCATCTCTCAGAGAAAGCCCATCTAATTAATCAAAGGTATCACGGTATTTTAGCTCAAAGTCCTCATCAAAGAAATTACAGAGATAACACATCCCCAACAGCAGAATTAACGGAAGAAAGGCGTTTGAGAAGAGAGCGGAGATGACCGAATATTCCAGAAGACAATCTGTGTGAATTTGCAGAGATTAAGTTATAAATCCTTGTTCTCTTATTAATTGGGTTTATATTAGTGGAACTTGTCTTTATTTAAGCAGCATTCCAGTAGAATTTAGACCAGTTAGGGAGTAGTTAGTAGCATAGGGGGAATTGTCGGTTTGTTAATAATTTTCTTAATTTGTTCATTGTTGGGTTAGATAAATAAAGTTGTTTCTGGTCACTTGTAAAGTGGAAATCAGGGATTTTCTTTTAACCACTCTTAATAGACTACGAGGGAAAAGATGAGCTTCTCTGGGTGTTTCAGGGGTAATGATTAGAGAGGAACTCCTATGCCCATCATAACAGATCGGGACTTGTGTTTTAGTTTAATTGTCAGAGGGGGTTCATCTATTACTCCCTCTAACAGTACACACTGCCACTACTGAGCGTTGCTGGTGGAGGGAATAGATACTTGCGGGTGTGGTGTCAATCAAGCGGGCTACTTTATCCTGTTTGGTGTCAAGCTTCAAATGCTATTGGGGCAGCACTCATCCAGGCAATTGGGCTGTATTCCATCACATGCCTGATGTATGTGTTATAAACAGTGGACAGGCTTTGGGGAAGTCAGGTAGTGAGTTACTTGCTGCAGTATTCTTAGCTTTTAACCTGGTTTTGTAGCCAGTGTCTACGTGATGAGTCCAATTGAGTTTCTGGTCAATGGTAACCCCCAGGATGATGATAATGGGGGATTCAGTGATGGTAACACCACTGAATGTCAAGGGGCAGTAGCTAGATCATCTCCAATAAGAGACAATCATTGCCTGACATTTGTGTGGCACAAATGTTACTTGCCACTTGTCAGCCCAAGCCTGGATATTGTCCAGATCTTGTTACATTTGAATGTGGACTGTTTCAGTAGTGAGGATCGTGAATGGTGCTGAACATTGTGCAATCATCGATAAACATCCCCACTTCTAACCTTATAATGGAAGGAAGGTCATTGACGAAGCAGCTGAGATGGTCGGCCCTAGGATGCTACCCTGAGGAATTCCTGCCAGGATAGCTCGGAGCTGAGCTAACTGATAAAGAAAACTAGTACAAAAAATAATGAAGATTCCACAAACGCTTGAAATCATGACAGATCAGAAATGCAGCATGGATTATTTTTGTTTTCCATATAAGGCATTGAAGGAATATTATGCATTTAGCCCGCATTAATGTGCTCACTGCAAACATTGTTCATATTAAACCTAACAGGAAGGTGGCCTTCAATTCTAAAAATAGACTGTAGGAATAACTTCTGAAGATCCTTTGGAAACAGGCTCCTTTCACTGTTTGAGGGAGTAAACTCAAGTAAAGATGACTGAAAAACACATGGTTGGTTTTTCAGTTCAGCAACCTAAACCCACCCTGATGCCATTGGAGCTTTGAACTTTATGTTTACATTTTCATTTTCATTTTTAAGAGTTGGACGCATTGATCAGATTGCATTTATTGTGGGATTCAAATGTAGGTTTGGACTGGAGAGAGGTACGAGGCTCCACCCAAGCCTCTTCCCATCCTATTTCATTTCATTATTGACATATGCTTCCATCCCTTCTGGTTTTTCCAGCTTCCCCTTGAATGCATCACTACTGTCCATCTCAATTAGTCCCACATCCTTTCTGCTGTCTGGATAAAGAGGCTTCTTCTGAATTCTCTCGAGTTTCTTCGTGTCATATTAGTGACCTCCATCTTTTGCTGTTCTTCCAACATTGGAAACCCCCTCTCTGCATCCAGTCAAACAAAGCATTCTAATAATTTTAAAATCCTTCTCGGCAAGATTGTTAAATACCTGGGTTGTAAATGTTCCTCGTGAGGTAGGGAGGTGCAGATTTAGGGAGGGAATTACAGAGTTTAGGGCTTTGGCTCTAAAGGTTTGACTATGTAAACCAGGAAGTGGACTTTGAGTTGTAAACTCCAGTATATTTCAGGTGGGTCAAATGGTGTTCTCGGCCACTTAGATCACCACTCGTCTTTTCTTTCCCAATGGCATAGGCCAGCCCCTTTCCTGTTGTATCATGATGCAAATCAGTGGTTCGTATGTGGAATTAACTGCCAGAGGAAGTGGTAGACACAGATACAGTAGCAACATTTAAAGTACATTTGGATTGGTACATGAATAGAAAAGGTTTAAAGTGATATGGGCTAAACGCAGGCAAGTGTGACTAGATTAGTTTGGGAAACCTGGTCATTATGGACAAGTTGGACCAAAGGGTCTGTTTCCATGTCGTTTTGACTCTACAACTGTGAGAAGAGGAATGAACAGATCGAAGTAAAGTATGAACCACCCTGTATATGAAGAAGTTGCCCCTCGGGTCCCTTTTTTCAGGTTTCACCTCTTACCTTAAAAATATGTGACAAAACACATTGATGAAGGTCGAGCACTGGATGTGGTGTATGTGGATTTTGGCAGGGCATTTGATAAGGTTCCCCATGGTAGGCTCATTCAGAACGTAGGGAGGCATGGGATTCAGGGAAACTTGGCTGTCTGGATACAGAATTGTCTGTCCAATAGAAGACAGAGGGTGGTAAGAGATGGAAAGAATTCAGCTTGGAGCTCGGTGACCAGTGATGTTCTGCAGGGATCTGTTCTGGGATCTCTGCTCTTTGTGATCTTTATAAATGACTTGGATGAGGAAGTGGAAGGGTGGGTTAGTAAGTTTGCTGATTACACAAAGGTTGGTGGAGTTGTGGATAATGTGGAGGGCTGTTGTAGGTTGCAACGGGACGTTGACAGGATGCAGAGCTGGGCAAAGAAGTGGCAGATGGAATTCAACCCAGAAAAGTGTGAAGTGATTCATTTTGGAAGGTCGAATTTGAATGCAGAATACGGGGTTAATGGCAGGATTCTCGGCAGTGTGGAGGGAGAGAGGGATCTTGGGGTTTACATCCATAGATCCCTCAAAGTTGACACTCAAGTTGACAGGGTTGTGAAGGCGGCGTATGGTGTGTTAGCTTTCATTGACAGGGGAATTGAGTTTAAGAGCCTCGAGGTTATGCTACAGCTCCATAAAACTCTGGTTAGACCACACTTGGAATATTGTATTCAGTTCTGGTCACCTCATTATAGGAAAGATGTGGAAGCTTTAGAGAGGGTGCAGAGGAGATTTACCGGGATGCTGCCTGGACTGGGGGGTAGGTCTTATGAGGAAAGATTGAGGGAGCTAGGGCTTTTCTCATTGGAGCAAAGAAGGATGAGAGGTGACTTGATAGAGGTGTGCACGATGATGAGAGGCATAGATAGAGTGGATAGTCAGAGACTTTTTCCCAGGGTGGAAATGACTATTACGAGGGGGAATAATTTTAAGGTGATTGGAGGAAGGTATAGGGGAGATGTCAGAGGTGGGTTCTTCATACAGACAGTGGTGGGCGCGTGGAATGCGCTGCCGGCAGTGGTAGTGGAATCAGATACTTTAGACACTTTTAAACGACTCTTGGATCGGTACATGGAGGATAGTAAAATGTAGGGTATGCAGGGTAGATTGATCTTAGTCAGATAATAGGTCCGCATAACATAGTGGGCCTGTATTGGCCTGTACTATGCTGTACTATTCTATGTTCTATGTTCTTTTAAAGAGTTGTGAATCTATGTGACTCACTATCCCAGAGTGCAATGGATGCTGGGACATTGAAAAAATTTAAGATGATAGACAGAGTTTTAAATTAGTAATGGGTTGAAGGGTTACGGAGGGGTGACAGGAAAGTGTAGTTCAGGTCAAGATGAGATCAGCCGTGATCGTATCAAGTGATGGAGCAAGCTTGGAGGGGCTGAATGTACTAGAAGGGTTTTCTAATATTCACTTTATATGTTGCCTTCAAGATTTCTTAAGCAGGTATATCTATACCTTAGGAACAATAATTATTCATCAACCATGCTAAAACAGTGCATGAAACTACATGTTTCATCACTTTCAATTAAGTATTGTGTTTAAAAGTTTTGCCACAGAAGTAGATCGAGATTGAAAATAACTTCACAATTTAAGTCAGGGAAAAGCTAAAATATTCAGGCAAATTTACTTAACCTTGGAGTACACAAATACAGCAATGCTTAAGAAATATCACATTTGTAATTTCTTTTACAAGTTTTGTTTCGAAGATCAGTTCTCTTTTTCTTAGCAACACCATCTTTTTGCTTTCACCCTGCAGCTTGCGTCATACTGGCAGCTATGCAAATACAATTTACTGTAGTTGCCATGACAACAGTTCCTATAGTAACCGTACAGTCACAAGGATACTTCTCCGAGCTCTACTTACCTGGACAATGATTCCCTTATTCTTGTACTCAATATGTAGCGCTTGCGAAAAGAAATCCACAAAAGACTATTGAAAATAAACAGAAATTAAGTCAGGACAGTGAGAGAGAGAGAGAGGGAGATTGGCAGTATGCTGTTCGAGGTTTAACTGTAAAGCAGTCATTTAGATTCTCGGAGGTTGTAATCTTGGTGCAGAACCTCACCTGCCAGGAGCGCAGATTAGTAATTTGAGGCACAGGGCTAGTAGGTCCTGCATGATTTTCAGTCCTGAATAGAAATGATTTGCAGCCCAAACCTTGTACCCAAACTGCCAGAATGTGATCACAGTGGGAAAAGCTTTGTGCCAGCACACAAAATTCATGAAATCTACTATTATGTGAAAATAATAGTCAAGTCAATTATCTTGCTGTTCATTCTCAAATTAAAACATGTATTTATTTTTTAGCTACGAGACTTTAAACAGCCTTGATTTGAGCCAGGGCTCAGCAAATGTACAGGCAGTCCCTAGGTTACGAACATGTTCCATTCCCAAGTTTGTAAATCAATTTATAGGCATATTGGAACATACTATTGGCTAAGCAAGCCACACATTTTGAGGACAATTGGGAAATGGGCAGCAAAATGGCCTCATCACTGTTAGCCATTTGGGGTGGCACGGTGGCTCAGTGGTTAGCACTGCTGCCTCACAGCGCCAGGGCCCTAGGTTCGATTCACCCTTCGGCAACCATCTGTGTGGAGTTTGCACATTCTCCATGTTTGCGTGGGTTTTCTTCAGGTGCTCTGGTTTCCTCCCACAGTCCAAAGATGTGCAGGTTTACGTGGATTGGCCATGCTAAATTGCTCCATAGTGTGCAGCGATAGGTCAGTTAGACCGATTACCCGTGGGTACTGGTGACAGGGAGAGGGTAGGGGGTCGGTCTGGGTAGGATGCTCTTCAGAGGGTCAGTATGGACTTGATGGGCTGAAAGATCTGCTTCCATACTATAGTGATTCAATCAAATATCTGCTCCAAGTATGACTGGATGTTCGCATATCTAATTATTAGAATTAAAGCAATATGGGATATCGTTTGTCAGTGTGAGTATTCAAAAGTCAAATGTTCATAAGTAGGGGGCTCCCTGTAGGTATTTTTTGAGTGGGAGAGGAAGTATAAACAGTAGGGGTTGTGTTGGAGGGCTTCCTTTACATACAACGGGATATTGTAGTAAGTAGTTATGAAACTAAATTTAATAAATCAGTTAATTTATGGATTTTTTTTTCCTGCTGGACCACAAACTTCTTTGGTCTGGGTTGAAATCCCGCTCATGACTGGAGGAAAAATTCTGCACTGACCCTCTAGTGCAGTACTGAGGGACTGCTGCATGGTTGGTGTTGGCACCTTTCAGCTGAGAGAAATGTAGATCCTATCTGACTTCTCAGGTGGGGTTTAAAGATCCCACCCTTGAGAACAGCAGGGAAGTGAATGCTGGTGTTTGATCAATATTTGTTCCTCAAAGGGTACCATAAGACCAGATTATCCGGTCACTATCACGTTACTGTTTGTGGGAACTTGCTGTGCACAAAGTGGCTCACATATTTTCAAACATCACACCTGTGACTTCACTTCGAAAGTACTCCATTTTGTGGTGTCTAGTTGTTGTGAAAGATGTTATAAAATGCAAGTTTCTCTTTACTCAGTCTTGCATATGATTCTAATCACAGTTGCCTTCAGTCTTTTGACACAGTTGTCATGAAAGTCTAACCCCCTCCCCTCAGGGTAACTTTGAATAGCCAATAATTGTGGCCTTGCTAGCAATACTTAAAGACTCAGACAAAAACTGTTCTTTGGTGCATTTGGGACGGTAATACCTCAGAGTCCAATTGCCAATCAGCACCTTTTCCTATGTGGTATAAATTGTTGTTTCCTTTGACAATCAGCATTCTTGCCTCTGTCCTGATAATTGCAAGTCAGAATGCTCCAACAGGCTGTCTCTTTTGTTAGCAATAAATCTGATTTTCTTTTAAAAAACTGGTACCAATGAAATCAACAAGCAATATTTCATACAAGTCTTAACCTTATAATTAGGAGGCACCAGGTGGAATATCTACCTTGGCACAAAAGAATAAATTACACTCCTGCTTAGATTTCACTTGCATCAACTGTCCTGATAATAGAATATTGTTGTGCTGTTTGAAGCAGTAAAGTTCTGAAATACCATTGTAACATCCTAGGTGTTGTGGGATGACAGGTTGAAGGGAGGTAAGACTTTATGATTTTCAATTCTGTGTGAACAATAGGTAATATATTGGAGAGCCACACCTGGCTGTCCCACCTTTGCCTGAAGAAACAATATTTATTTTATTAGGTTTAAGGTTAAAAGAACACAGAATGAGAAGTTACAGAATTGGTCAAATTTGTGTGATTGGACAGGATTAACCCAAACACTAGTTTCAGCAGCAACACCAATATTTTTGCTATCCCAATAGCCAACTGCCAGGTTTCCCATATTCCACTCAAATAACTTCTGCATGTCCAAATTTCAGCTGCAGCTTGCCTCAAGTTCTCATCCTCCACTGCCTGTATGTTTACTGACCTCTAGCCACTCTCTGTACAGCTATGACTCCAATTTAGAATCCTTAGTCTTGTATTCCAATCCATCTGTAGTTTTACCCCCACATCCCACATTTCAGTCATCTCCTACAGCAGTTCATGTATTCTGCACTCTTTCAATTGACCTCTTGCGCACCCCAGTTTCCTGCACACCACTAGTGAAACTTATCTAGGATCTAGAATTTTCTCCCTAAAATTCTCCACTTCCTTTATTGTGGTCCTGAAAATCAGCCTCTTTGACCTTGCTGTTGGCAACCTGCCAGATGTTGTCCCATAACACAACTGTCAAGTGCCTGTGCAAGGACCATTTCTTTTTGGACTGTGGAATAAAAAATGGGAAAAGATGCTGCTTAAATCAAGGAAACTTGTTGCAGTTTTACCAACAAATTGCTGGGGAGGCGATGGCCGAATGGTATTATGGCTGGACTGTTAATCCAGAGACCCAGATAATGTCCTGGGGACCTGGGTTCAAATCCCACCATGGCAGGTGGTGGAATTTGAATTCAATAAATATCTGAAATGAAGAGTCTAATGATGACCATGAAAAACCCATCTGGTTCACTAATGTCCTTCAGGGAAGAAAACTGCCATCCTTACCTGGTCTGGCCTACATGTGACTCCAGACCCACAGCAACGTGGTTGACTCTTAACTGCCCTCTGGGCAATTAGGGACGGGCAATAAATGCTGCCCAGCCAGCGACGCCCTCATCCCATGAATCAACAAAAAAAACTCATTGCAAGTTGTATCTAAAATGTTGCCTTATTCAAACAGTGGGGGTGGATACTAGAAACATTTCAGGTGGCACGGTGGCTCAGTGGTTAACACTGGTGCCTCACAGCACCAGTGACCCGGGTTCAATTCCGCCCTTGGGCAACTGGCTTTGTGGAGTTTGCACATTCTCCCCGTGCCCACGTGGGTTTCCTCCGGGTGCTCCAGTTTCCTCCCACAGTCCAAAGTTTTGCGGGCTAGGTGAATTGGCTATGCTAAATTGCCCATAGTGTTCAGGGATGTGTAGATTAGGTGTGTTACAGGGGGATGGGGCCTGGGTGGGATGCTCTGAGGTTTGGTGTGCACTTGTTGGGCCGCAGGGCCTGCGTCCACAGCGTAGGGGTCCGATGACCTGAGTGAAGTGTGTGTGTGTGTGTGTGTGTGTGTGTGTGTGTGTGTGTGTGTGT